CATCCTTTGACAAACTGCTCTATTACCAACTAAGCCAAGTTCTGACACACCATCTTATGACCAATGGTAGAAAACATTTTGTCACTCGGTCACGATGCCACTGTAAGTTGGTGCCTCCCACTGCCGCTGTCGAAATAGGGGAGCTCTTCACTTAAAATCAGCCGTGTTTTCTGGAGGCCCTGGTGGTGCCTCGCCTCGCTCGTTGGATGTGGCGAGCGAACCCTACTGCTGTCGGCACGGAAGGCAGCGCCCGGAGTGTTGCATGCACTAGGGAGGTGGCTGGTGCCCCGCGCCTTTAAGGGAGAGCCCACTGCAAAGTGAGAAGAGAAGTAAGGCAAGGGGTCTGCTTTGATCACACAGAAGGCAAGACATCAATTCTGAAGAAAGCCAGAGGCATGATTGACAATTGTATGAGTGACTCATAAAGTGAAATGGTGGAAAGACGGGGCTGGATGAGAGGCAAAAAGACAATCTTTTCCAGAGCAATGAAGCCCTGTCTACACAGCACAACAAATGGTTTATAAAACGGAGCCACCAATCAGCCGCTCTGACTGGCCGGCTGCTGGAAAATCTTCCCGTCGCCCATCGACCGGTCACTGTGACATCATGTGTGTGGTCCACAGTAAGGGAGTTTTGTGTATTATGTAATGACCTCATGTGTTACGTAACAGGAGGCACACAATTTCAAGCTCTGCTTTTGAAAACTGTTGGGGTAAAACGGACTATTCACAGGTAAATGTAATGAAAACATTCATGAAGGACAAATGAGATTAGGGTGAAGCCCCGAAGCGAGGCACACGTGCTTCCTGGCCTCACCGGCCGCCCCTCGGCCTTTCCCACAGCCTGATGGGACTTCGGGGGAGTCTCCTAGACAACGTCAGTTCTGAGGAGAGATTATCGGCCCCGGGCACAAAATGCTATTTTAAAAATAATTTTCTGCGAAGTAGCACTGATATTAAATTGCTTCTGGAAACACTGAGAAGTTCCTGAATCAAGAAGTGGCCTCAAAACCAGCATGTTTTGTTTCTCTCGTGTGATTAAGAAGAACATTAAGGTCTACAGCTTAAAACTGCCAATTAAAGAGGGCTCTTTCAAAAACTCATTGCTGCCTTAGGATTTCCCATGAATTGGCTGAATTCTTGGCACTCAAATTTCAGTTCATGGAAAGCAACCCGGAATTTTGTTTGTTTCAATTATGAAGCATTTTGGTGAGGCACTGGGCACTGTACACATCTGAAAATGAAGTGGCAATAAACAGCTTTTTTTGTTGTTGTTGTTAAATTTAAGCCTCCGTGGTTTTAATTCCAGTATCTACTAATGACACATTCTAATCTCATTATCTAAAACGTTCAACATAATAAAAAGTCTAAAGGTTTTTTTATTAAACTTCTGAATCTTTTTTGTTTTGAAGCCCCAAATATTCTAGTGTATCCATAATTGATTATCTTCTAAAATGAAAGAACACAGATATTAGTTATTCCTGATGGTACAGATCATCAAATTAAAGTTGATCTATTCTACTGGAAGTCCTTCTCGATTTGGGAAGTAAATCATTTTCCCATACGCTGAGAGGATCCTGAAGGACAAACTGAGAAATGTGGACATTCTCGGTTCTGTTTATTCACTTTCATCATTACGTCTAATGAAACCGCATCGCTACAAGTCTCTCACTTATCATTCTCTCAAATTGAAAAAGTGGAGGCTCCTGAAAAATGTGAATACTCCTCTAGGATTTTTTAGACTTTCATTTGCACAAAGAACAGGACAAATGCCCCAGAACTCCATTAATATTTCTTGCAAATCCGATAATCAAATTGCCTGGATTTCTGTTACGGGAAGTCAGGGCAAGTAACCCTGCTGTCAGGAGAAATTGGCGGAGGTTGCTTCTTTTAGTCCTGAGATAAGTCCCACCCCCCGCTCCCCTTTCTAGGACTACACAGCATAATGTCTACCACATGGAGAAACTGCCGCCTGGACTATCTTTTAGCTCCTAAACATTACCTTGAATCCTTTGAAAATTTCGGATGGACCAAGCCAACTGAAAGCAGGAATGCAGTAACAATTTGACCCTTGGAGGTACATTCCATTTTTTCCTTAAAAAATATTAACTGTTAAGAGGTAGGCTATCTCTTCAAATCAAACAGTAAACAGAAGTCATGCTGCCAGCCCCTCTAAACCAAATTTAAATGACGAAAGCTTTTTTACGGGTTTACACTGCCCGGGTTAGGCCAGGGGGTCAGTGGACAGCCTAGGGCGTGGGGAGAGGGGAGCTATCGGCGCGCGGGTGCCCTCATTCCCCCTAAGTGTTCTAAGGCAGGCGCCTCCTACAGACCAGGGCTAAGGGGCGTCGCTATTTTTCCCCCAGAAGGAGCGGATTCTCTCATTACTTCTCTAGGTTCTTGCAGACACCTGGGTGTGCCATGCAGGTGATATGCTCTGCGCCTGTATCTTACACACTGAGGGGCCACGAGTCACATTTTCAGGTTGGAAGCGAGTGAGAGATGCTTATGGGAATTGATACAGTCTCTCTGGCGATTCCTTCTCAGAGCGCAGCAGACGCCCATGAACAAATGCCTCTACGCCCCGCACCGGCGCAGCGGAATTGGAGCCCGGCCCGCTGCGGCCACGAGCTGCGGGCTGCGCGGGGGCAGGTGCGCCGGTCTCCCTGCCGCAGGGGACCGCAGGCCAGCCGCCCGGGCACCAGGCCATGGCTGCCACTCCCGGTTCCCCCAGAATACCCTCCCTATGCCTACTTTCCTTCTTGAGCACAGGAAAGAAACAAAGACTTAAAGAGATGCTGAGAAATTAAACGTGATTTTCTTTCCCTTTTTTTATATATTTACAAAGAATGGAAATTGATAACCTCAAGGACACCAGCCTCGGCGAAGAGATCACGCCCCTCATGCAAAAGGCTCAATCCTTTCAAAGCAGGGGAGAAAGGCGCTTCAGACAAAACCATAAACGGGCAACAAGGAAGCGTGTCACTTTCAGGAATGCCATCCTTCGGTCGCTGTGCGAGCAACGCGCCCTGCCTCTGGCTGCAAAGGTGAGGGCGGGCCATTTGGAACCCGAAGGGCCCGCGTGTAGGTGTTTCTCCCCAGTCGCTCCTTTAAAGAGACATTACAACGAAGGACACTTGATCATACTCTTACTTTGTTCTTTTAATCACCAAATAATTAATTAGTTATCAGAGGATCAGAAAAACACTTGTGTGGAAAGAGACTTCTGGAGACCCAGGGTTCCTAGGATTAGACACCTGCAAAGGGCTTATTTCAATGTCTCTGAATCAATATACATTTACAGCTAACTAATTAATGTTTCTCTTTTCAGTACCTAACCTTTAAAAAAAAAAAAAAGGCCCCGTGTCACACGGGAACCAAAAGAAGATTTTTATAGATGGGTTATACCTCAATTCCGTTGAAATCTAGCCTTTTCTCCTAAGGAATAAGAATAAAGAATATATGAAATGTGTATTAGATCATTGCTCAGTCAGGGTAATATCCAAAGTGTGTTCAAAATAAAACATTGCTTCTGGCTTTAATATTCATCTTTGCATTTCATAAGCAAACAAAATAAATGAAAATGTGTTTTCTGTTTCACCGTGTATGGATTATGGATCTGAGAGAGCAATTTGTTGTTGCTGTTAAGGATTAAAAGGACATGATAGGAGAAACGGTGTCATACCAGTTTCTGAGACAGCCTAGCGGGAACGAGGGGAGAAGAGGCCCTGGCAGCGTGGGGGTCGGCGGCGCCCGACACCGCCGGCACCCACTCCCCTAACGAGCGCACGGCTGCCACCGGGGCGAGGCACAGCCCGCGCGCGGGGCGGTGCCGGAGGAAACCCGTGGCAGAGGCTGCAGGGATGGAAGACAGGCAAGGCCACGAAGGGATCGGAGGCGCTCTCACCCCTCAGCGGTAAGACGAGGCACATGAGCATTTTGCTTTTCCCCGGGCATGTGAACGCCATGAAATCATCCTCATGACAGACAGGCCTGGTGGAAATATCGGAGAGGTCACAGGGCTGTGTCATCTTCTGGTAAAAAGAGGAGAGAAAGGGCCACACACACATGCACTGCCTCTTCGGTACTGAGTCAAGCAACCTCTGTTTTTATCTTGTTGTGGAGACAGAGGCCCAGAGTGGGACGGCGAGGGACGTACCGGGCAGCGGCCCGAAGCCCCGATGCATCGGGAGGTACAGGAAAGAAAGTTGAGCCACCTTCAGTCGCAGAGTGCCCAGCCCTTGGAATTACTTTTTCTCTTAGAGCTCATATTGCCAAGCAAGCAAGATGCTGGGAGGGTATGGAGTCCGCGTGCATTTTAAACAAAACCATGTTAGAATTTCCACTAACTACATTCCTTCTGTCTGATTTCGATAAGAAAATAAACAATTTCAGATGCTTTAGATATTCACCAGGGAGTAAGGAGCTGTTTTTTTTTTTTACTTCATCTGAGTTATAATTTTCCCATTAAAATCTATCCATATCAAGTGGGGTGCACGAAGAAATAACAATTATTTTTAAAAGTTTCGACTGTTCAGTTTAAGGAGAGCTCTGAAATCACAATTTAGCTTGAAATTCAAGCTGTTTCATTTCCTATTTAATCTTGTGAATTTCCTTCCCTTACAATACTCAGGTTGGAAGGGTGCCAAATTAGACCAGGAACAAATTTTCACCAACTTCACTTCAGTGCTTTATTTTTAGATTATATTAAAAACCTCATTAGGCTCCCTGAGGGAGAAGAGTGTTAACCGCTAACAGAGGCAGGGGGGAAAAAAAGGAAACGGAAAGATAAGCTAAATTGTTAACAAGGAAAGCTCTCTTCAAACAGTTGGTCTGAGGATGCTGTAAAAGCGAAAAGAAACTTAATACCAAGACCAGGTAAATGACTGGAGCTCGGAGCTTCATTTTTCACCCCAAGGCTAGGAATGGCTGGCCGGGCTTGTCAAGGTGGCATCTGCCTGTGTGACGGTCTCCAGATGGGCTCTGGGGGGTGGTGGGGGGTGGTGGGAGGGGAGACCGAGAAACCTTTAAAGACGGTAAGCGCGGGCTCCACGCTCCCGCACCGCATCAGGGTGCCTAAAGGGTCTCCGGGGAGCAGGCCGCCAAAGGGGCGGGCATATGCAAGACGGGGCAAGGTTCAATGGAATGAAACATAGAATTTATTAACGTATTTACATAATTTATACTTTTTAAGCAATGGTCTCATAAATATAGACTGTAACTTTACATAGGCTAAGCAACAGGTAATTGTTTTCCCCACCAAAATATTTGGGTTAAATAAAAAATTGACAGCATTTACATCACTTTCTTTTTCCTCACTTTTAAACCAGTTGGTCAGTTTCAACATAGGCAACTCAATTTATTCCAGGCAGCTTCTCCACCACCACCATCCTGATCACGAGAGATTACAAACGGTGCCAGGGATGAGTCTGGGGACACACACAGCAGGGTCACACCTCGGACGAGCCACGGCTGTTGGAGCCGGGAGCTCGCCGCAGGCATCTGGGCAAATGCACGCAATGGCAAGCGCGCTGGGCACGGCGGGGAGGGGGGGATCACTTCCATCAGTCCTATAAATAGCCCGTTCTACCTTCAGATAATAACCGCCATCCCTCCACTCACCAGCACCCCGCCCCACTGTAAATGATGCCACCCCCCGAACAGTGGTAACGGGGAACCAAGGAAGTTATGACCTCCACGAGGTCTTCTTTCCCTCAAGAACCACAAAGTGCTCATTTTCCCTTTACAAAATGTTACATAAAATCTTGATTACAAAACTACTCAACAATTTGATCCTACCATCCATACAATTACATGTTCCTTTCTGCAAGGTCAACAGCCAGTGATGGAGCCCCTTTGTAGGCAGAGAGTCTTTACATAACCCAGGTCCGCAGACTGAAATATTACTGCTGCAGTCTTCCAAGAGGAAAAGACTGATCAATTTCTGTGCCTCTTTTTTGCACGAAGAAGACCCCAGACCGGCTCGGCGAAGCCTGGTGGCGGGCCCCCAGCCCCCGGCCAGCTTTCAGGACCACCTACTTCGCCGCGGGGTCTGAGAGGCGGAGGCTCAGTCAGCAGCAGCCTCGCTTCGGCTCTGAAGGCTGCCTTCGGAGTTTGAAGCCCTTCCCGCCACATGGCGGGCTGGAGTCAGTAGATGGAATTCTTCGACCTAAAAGCGAGAGGAAAGAGGGAGGGGAATGAGCTTTAACTTTCCAATCTGCTCATTCTCAGACGCAACAATTGTGTAGATGCAATATGACATGTTTCATTAAAATAAAGTTCACTAAACTCTGACTTTTGGGATGATTTTAGATTTACAGGAAAGTTGCAGAGATAATACAGAGAGCTGCTGTGTGCCCCTTGCCCCGTTTCCCCTAATGGTACTATCTTAGGCTGCCACAGGACATTTGTCACAGCGAAGGATTCCACACTGACACATCACTATGAACCGAACTCCAGACTTCCTCCGGCAGCCCGTGGGGCCACGGGAGGGTCACATGTGGCATTCAGTACCTTTTTTCAAATTAAAAAAAAAAAATTACCTGTTAAAAACATCTTGTTCTGAGTAGGTAATACATGCACATGGTTAAAAAAATTTAATTACAACCTGCCCATCCCTCTGTCCAGGGCGAGGGGTGCAGGCACACAAGGCACACACACCTTAGCCTGAACCCCGAGAGGAGCAAGCAGGGTGCATGGCTGTCCCCCTGTTGTCTCCCCCACGTGCCCTGGGACCGCCCCAGCCCAGGGCTGGGAGGGCTGCCGCCTGCTATCCAACAGCCCCATGACACCGCAGGGCGTGGAAGTGCCGCAATCCAAGCGTTCCCTTGCTGAGGGTACTTGGTTTGCCTGCAATGTTTCGATGCTACGAACAATGATGCAGAAATATCCTTGTGAACATGAGTGCATGTGCTGGATGACAGAGCGGAAGAGCCAGGTCACGCCATTCTACTTCAGGGTGCTGACCCGACATGTCCCCTGTAGCCCTGCGTCTGCCTAGCACAGATGCAGGAAGGATGTGCAATTTAAATTTTGACAGATGCTGCCAAATTGCTCTCTGAAGAGCCTGTGCCACTTTGTTCCACTACCAACAATGTATGAGAATGAACAGGTTTCACTTTAGTGCTCCGTGAAGCATAATGCCAATTTCGAGGGAAACCTAAATCACCCATCCACCTACCTCGCTGTGAACTTCAGAGCTGCTTCTTGTACAAGGCCTTCCCAATCCTCCCACCCCACTTCCAAACTCCCCAACGTCTCAGGCACTGAAATGCACTGGGACGTTGGGAGCACACTGTCATGGATTTGTTTACACAACTATCTCCTTCAAATCAGATCCTCTGCCCTTTGAAGGAAGAGCCCCCATTTCTCCACGTTCCTTTCCAGGATTGCTGAACACAGTGCCTGGCACCGGCCTATTCCGACCATGGGAACTGGCACATGCGTTTGGGGTAGGAAAAGGCTGCGGTGGAACCTGCGGGCTCTTGGGTCCTTGGTCACCCAGTCTGGAGCCTCCAGCCTGCAAATCTGGGTGGATGGAGCCCAGCTCGGTGTCTCCGCCACTAGAAAGTGTCCCCCAACATGTCCTGCCGCTATTTTTCAAATGCCCATAACCGCTGCTGTGAATGAACTGCAAATTAATTTAAAAGCTTTACTGAAGCTTCTTGTCATTACATATTTCTCAATAAATGGATAATGGAAATACAGCTGGGACCACAGAGTCATCTCTGAAACACTTTTAAAGATTTTATTTATTTTTAGAGAGAGGGGACGGGAGAGAGAAAGAGCAGGAGAAACACACTGATTAGCTGCCTCTCATTGGCGTAGGGGCCTCAACCGGGGACTGAGTGTGCAACCCAGGTACGTGCCCTGAACAGCAACAGAACTGGCACCCTTTCGCTTTGCAGGGCGCTGCCCAACCACCTGAGCCACACCAGTCAGGGCCGTCTCTGAAACATTTTGAGGAGAAAGCAGAGGGGAACATGTTCCTGACCTGGGAATAAGCACTGACTTCTCAAACCGGAACCAAAAAGTGCTCACCATAAAGGAAAACACGGATCAGTAGGACTCTATTAAGATGAAGGTCTCTAGTTCATCAAAGGAGTTGACTGAAAAATGGAAGTCAAGTCACAGAGTAGAGCCTGTCCACTGAACACAATCAACAGTGAACCCATAGTCAAAGTAGACTTTCAACACAGGAAAAGGCAGAGAACTGAAAAGGAAATAGACAAGACCGCACAAAAGAGGATATCCAGAGAGTACGCAAGTGTGAACGAGTATCTGCGTAGGCGCTCGACTCCATCAACTGCCACGGAAAGGCAGACCATGCACCTCCTGCACAGGACGCAGGGCGCGGGGAGAGGCAGGATTTGCAATCGCTCTGAGCTGGGAACGGCCACCTCAGATGCCTATCGCTAGGATGGATCACCGCGCCGTGGACGTTTCCCCGCTCCCGACTCTGTCGCTGACAGACGCACCACAGTGACGAGTGGGTCGTGAGTGATATGGATGAACCGAGAAGAGAATGTAGAGATAAGGAAGCCAGACACAGGAATAAATTCAGTCTGCTTTAAAAATGTAAAACGTGAAAACAGGCAAAATGATGTGGAATAGTCATGCGCTGGGACAGTGGTTCCCGTGGGGGGTGGGCAGGAGTCTCGTGGGGTGGCCCCGGGCCTTGCTCTGGGCGCACGTCACACAGGTACCCTTCCCCTGTGAAAGGCCCTGGGCGTTACTTCTGCCGTGAGCACGACTCTGGGAAGCGGCGCGCAGGCTGGGCGCGTGCTAACAGCGTCCCGCACCCCATTAGCAACCACCCCGCTGCTTTACATCTCTCTTGGTGTTTCTAATCTTTGTGAACATATATTTTTTTTATTTTTCACAGGTGAAATGAGTATGTACATGCTATTTTTTATCTAAGGATTTTCGTTGTTGGTACAGTTCACTACTGTTCTGTTAGTGCTGCTGCAGACCACTTAAAAAAGGTAGTGACTTCGGCACACATCGGATACCGTACACGTGCATATTTTGACTTGAACTGTGAAAAATTTCTGACTGGCCTCAAGGTGCCTTTCAAGAATGCATCTGGGTAACTGCTACTGACAATCTAGGGAGACAATAAATATGATTTTTTGATGTTGAAAGCAAGGGGCTGGGCGGGAAGCTGCAAACCAGCAAGCAGTCCACAGGCCCTGTGCGCTGGCAGACGGGACTGGCAGGATGCACGACGCTCGGAAAATACCTGAGTTAGTGGCCAAATCCAAACAATGGATATGTTACATAAAATTCAAATCTCTGGGTCTCTAAACAAACGAAAAACACCAAAAACTAAAAATAACAGAAACAACCCCAGCAACTGGCAACCAGAGGCCCCTGCTCCAGTGTGGCCCCACTGCCGGAGCCGGGCCCCAACTCCCAGCCGGCATGCACCCCAGGGCCCCAGGCCCGCCCGACGACTGGGCTGTCCCTGGTGGGGCCTGCTGGGCACTGTGGTTCCCGGCCTCGCCCTGGCAGGGAGCTCGGACCTCACCCAGAGGGCGGCTAAGGGGAAGCTCTCAGTGCCCGGCGCTGTCTCCTGTCCTGCGCCCGGAGGCTGGCACGCTCCGTTAACATGAATTCGGGTCTAGGCATGGCCGGCTCTGTCGCGTCGCGCGCCAGTGTCACCTGCCCAGGAGCGGCCTTCTCCCTGGCCCCCCGCAGACGCTCTTCGCCGCACCCTGTGTTATTTTCCGCTGTTGCTGCCTGTCCCCGGGAGGGCCTCGGCTCTGCTCTGCCTGCCGGCTGCCTCCCACAGGGCGGCCGGCGCTCCGGGTGAGCGGGCCGTGCCCCCTGTGTTCGTTGCTGTCTCCCCTGAGCCTGGGACAGTTCTCAGTAACTGTTTTGATGAATTTGAATGGAATGAATAAACATAGGTACAGCCTGTAGAGGGTCCCAAAGGTACGCGGCAGCTTTGCTCCTGGCTAGTACCACCCCACGGAAACCTCTGGAGCGGGAGGGGCGGGGGAGGGCGCTAGAGGCCTTCCCCCGCTGGCCTGGCGGTACCTCCCGAGGGTTCTGACAGTGGAATCTAGTGGAATCTCGCGTGCGTTCCCCTTCCCGTTTGTTTTGTTCGTTTCCAGTGGCTTTGGACGACTCACTGAAACGCACAGGAAGAGAGAGAGGAGGGGCGACACCTTCCCCAGGGCCTGGCGCTAGCTATCCGTTCAGGAGCAGCAGCAGGACAGCGGGCCCCACCCACCAGGCCGCAGCTCTCCCGCAGTCGCAGTCGGGGACAGGAGCCCTGCGGCCACTCTTCCACTCGCAACTCTCCCCCACCGAGAGCCGCCCCGGGAGCCAGGCTGCCCGCCGACGAAAGAGCCCTACCGGGCACGAGCTGTGCTCGGTCGCCCTGCACAAGGGAGCCCGCCCCGCGCAGGGATACTCACTAATTTCTATAAAGAGTTCATTGATGTTTATCGCATTTTTGGCGCTGGTCTCTACAAAAATTGCATGGATGGAGTCAGCGTAGTCCTTAGCGTCCCTCTCCATGACTTCTCTGGAAGGCAACGAATGCAAGTCAGGAACGTGACGGTCAGGAGCGGCATGCTGTCCCCACCTACCCCGGAATCCAGCAGATTCATGACGATGGGCCAGTGCCTATGGCTAAAAGGAAACAAACCTGCACCCCTGGCAATGCACGCAGTGGACCAGTCAGAGAGTAGCAGGCATCCCCCGCCCCGCCTAACGCCCTGCTCTGCGAGTTATGGAGGCGGCCCTCAGGCACTCGGACAGATGTGCTTTCCCAAAAATCTGCCCCCCCATTCCAGTGTCCAAAGTCAGGCCTGATGCAGCCAACGTTAAACAAATCGCACACCTGCCTACAACCATAATATAATTAGCTCCGAACGCCTGGGCTCTCATTTTACTTTGAAACTCCATGACTCCAACCGTACAGCAGAAAAATATTTTTCAATGTCAGAGATAAAAATAAAAGCAAGATTCTTATACTGGATATTGCTCAGTGAGCAAAGGAACACACAATCAGCACTGTGATCTCCTGTCCTAATAACTTACCTGACATCGATAAGATCACACTTATTTCCTGCAATGGCGACCACAATATTAGGTGGGCCGTGCTGGCGGAGCTCTTTTACCCAATTCTTTAATGTGGAAAACGTCTCCTGGAACATAAGAGAGGAAAGCAACTGGAGATCTAAGCAACCAAGAGTTTTCGAAATAGTCTGAAGAACACAACATATGTCTTACTTCTTTTGTGATATCATAAACGATTATAGCCGCGGCCGACCCCCGGTAGTACATGGGCGCTAAGGCACGGAACTGCAGAGAGAGAAGCGACACAATTGGGAAAACTGGTTAATATGTTTTCTATAGACTCTCAAGCCCATTATCCCTGCACAAAAGGTAATCTTTCTCTCCGCCCAGGAAGATGACATGATGCTTTAAAGCAAATGAACCAGTGATTACCAAAGGCAACAACTCTTAATGCAACACTGAAATGTCTCTCAGAAGATAGTTTAGAATACAGTTTTATAGGAATTAAATATGGTGCTATAAACAATTGTTTCAGCTAAAAAGGCTTTTTAATTGAACTTAGTGTTATAATTCCCAAATTCATTTGTTCAATAGTCCTTTAAACTTGGGCTTCCCAAACGACCAAAGAGATAAAAATCATGCTGTGAACAGTTCTCCCGAGAAGCGGCCGGACGGGGGTCATAGAGGAGACCCCGTCACCGGAACGCTGCCAGCATCACAGAAATGAGTGCACATGTACACTCAGTACTTGGATGAGTCCGTGACGCCATTTCTGGCTAATCCCATGTAGGTGGCAATTCCCAAATGCAGGGAGGTTTGTAATTTCTTTAAATGAATTTAACTCTGTCTGCACGGCCTCCTCCCCCCCAGCGCCCCCTCCCTGCCCCACGCACAGCAGGGAAGGAGAGGAAGGGAGAGGAATAACCATCTCAACGGCAAGGCCGACTTCGCTGGCCACTTCTGTCGACGTGTGAGACGTTAACCGGAAGCTCTCTGCCCACTAACTCGGGCCCCCGGGGCCCCCGGATGCGTTGGTTTGAGCATCTCACTCAGTGACCACGACGCCAGCGTTGAAAGACAAGGATTTCACCTGTCCTTGCTCTCCGTCTCAGGCCTCGACGCTGCAAGCTGACCGCACGCACCATGGGCGCCACAGCGCCCTGGCCCTGCTCTCCAACCTGGGGGCCAGCCCCTCCGCACAGGCGGGAGCCGGCCCCCGAGGCGAACGGCTGGTGCTCAGCGCCGCTCCCACCCAGAGCAACAGCCCGCGACTGCTCAGAATGGGTGGAAAAAATGAGTGAGAGCTGTAGAGAATGGGGGGACGGCACACTAAAGCCAGGCCCTGATGTGCATGTGGGGGTTTTACTTGTCTCTGGGAGGAGATCCTGTCTCTGGTGTGGAGGCCGGGTAACTCCCAGTAAAACAAGGTGTTTCACAGAGAAAAAACCCAAAATACAGGCTGTGAGCAAGAAAGCACTACAGAGAGGAAACTGCAGGGCTGGGGGAAGACAAGGAACTGCCTTCGACGACGGGGCATGCGCAGGCGGGACCAAGATGAGGATTAGCTTTCATTCCTGATAAATCCTTTACAAGTTTTGGGGGGTTTTTTGCCTTCAGATTTGGAAAGTAAAATTCACAAAGATAAGTGCAAAAATCTTCAGTTTGATCTTAGGTTTCTCTCTGGCTGGGTTGCCAGCTGGTTAGAGCGCTGTCCCAATACGCCAAGGTTGTGGGTTCGACCTCCAGGCAGGGCACACACAAGAATCAACCAAGGAATGCAGCAGTACGTGGAAAAACAACTGGATGTATTTTTCTCTCTCTCTCCCCTTTCCTCTCTCTAAAATCAATAAAAAAAAATCTCAGTTTTGATAAAATGACTACGTGGATGTACGCGCCCACACAAACAGCACCCCACACAGGAAGCACGTCCGTGCAGCAGGCTCCCTGACACCCCACCCCGCCTCCCCCCGGGTACATCACGGCGCCCGCTGACCACCGCGCAGCCCGGCGGCTCCCCTCACTTGCGATCGGCACAGGACGCCCTTCTCCTTCCTTTCCTTCTCAGGCCGTCTGTTTGGTTCAGGGCGATCCCCTTCCGAACCAGCACGGGGCGGGTCCTGCTTCTCAACCCCTCTGACGACCGCGGCCTTCTGAACGGGACGTTCAGTTCCTTTGTGTGTGCTGTACTTCCTGACATACCGGCCTTACTCATATTATGTCACCATTTTGCTATTTGTTTTATATTTGTTCCATTAAAAAAATTCCTGTTCTTCCTTTATTTCCCTCCTGTGCATTAATTGAATATTTTGAGTATTTTATTTAAGTATATTAATCTGTCCTTTGGCTTTCTGGCTGTCCCTTCTTGCATTACTTTTTAAGTGGCTGCTCCTGTAACTGCCATGTAGAGAGAGAGCCCCTCTGCCCACAGCTGACTTCGGTTAACACAGACCGCCCCATGTAAAATACCAGAACGCTGTGAAAATCTCATCCTTTTTATCCCACTATCTTGTGTGCTATTTTGTCAAATATTTTAAATCTACATACACTACAAACTATACAATCCACTGTCCTAATTTTTGCATTAAATAGCCCGTAGTGCCCTGCTGGTGTGGCTCCGTTGGTTGGAGCATTGTCCGGTAACCAAAGGGTCGTGGGTCTGACACCTGGTCAGGGCACATGCCTAAGTTGTGGGTTCGATCTCCCGCGTGGGAGCGTACGAACGGTAGTCGGGGCACGAACAGGAGGCAACCAACCGATGCGTCTCTCACACTGATGTTTCCCTCCCTGCGTCTTTCTCTAAAAGCAGTGAAAAAATGTGCTTGGGTGAAGAATAAAAATAGATAAGTAAATAGCCAATAGTCTTTTAAAGAAGTTGAAGAAAAAAAAGTTTTTTATATTTACCATTGCCAGTTGTCACTATTTTTTCCCATGGGCCCGAGCTACCATCTGGTCCCACCCGCCTGGGCCTGGAAGACCCTCTGGGACTGCTGCAGGTTCCTAGCTTTTATTTTTCTAAAACTGTCATTACTCTGATTTGAAATTACTCCGTATTTGAAAGGCAATTCTGGCATGTTGACGTTTTTGTTTTTGTGTTGCTTTCAGCACTTTACCGACTCTGCCCTAGGGCCTTCTGGCTCGGTTCTGAGGGGCGCCAGCCATCACTCATACTGTTCCCCATACATAACATGCTGATTATCTCTGGCCACTTTCAAGATTTTTCTATTTAACTCTGGCTTTCAGCAGTTTGACTGTGATGCACCCAGATGTAGTTTTCTTTGTGCTTCTGGGTGTGCTAAACTTCTTAGATTTGTAAACTGATGTTTCATCAGATTTAGGAAATTTTCAGCCATTATTTCTTGAAACATCTTTTTTCTGTCCCTTCCCCCGCAACTCCTTCTGGGTCTCAGTTACGCAAACGTTAGATTGTGTGGATTTGTCCCTGAAGTAAGGAGACTATGTTCATTATTTTCCCGCTTTCTCCGTCCTTCTGATTGGTTGGTGTCTGCCTCCCACCCAGTGGGTTTTCCTTTCCGACGTTCCACCAGCTTCAGCATTTCCGTTCGATGACAACTGTCCATTCTGTGCAGACTGCCCATGTGCACACAGCAGACAAGGCTCTTCCTTTCATCTCGGAACCCTCTCTTACCTGCTCCGAGGAGCGTAGAATGCTGACCGCTCACCGCGAGACTGGCTGCGGCTGGGGTTGGGGTAGGTCTGGCCAAGCCTGCCTTTCGTTCTAGGACGTGGTATCTCCTTCTGAGGCTGGTCCTTCTGGAGTTTCAATGGCAGCCCAAGGTCTTTACCAGTCCCTCTGACACGGCAGGACTGGGCTCCAGCCCCGAACTCTCCTTCCCCCGTGACAAGCAGCAGCCCACTCCCTGCGTGGTCCTGTCACCCCTCTGGCTGTTGCTTTCTGCTGGGTGCCCCTGTGTCTCTCCTGTGCATTCACACTTTGGGGCCAGGCAAAGACTTAAAAGGAACTTATAAGCAGGCTCTGGGGCTTCCCTCCTTGTTGGATCCACCTTTCCTATGATTTGCCTCGTCTTTTTTTGGTCGCTCTAGCAGCCTTAAATTCTGTCTCAAAATGCCACAAGCTAAGAAGATGGGCTTTCCGCTTGAGTGCTCGCTACCCTGTGCCCTGTGGACGGGGGAGTGTCCTCTGGGGGCAGCCACACACCTGTGGGTCTCAGCCACCGGTGTTCCTGTCGAGTCCCTGGCTGCATCTGGTGGCTCGGCAGCCGGGCCATTGCGGCTGTTCTGTGACATCATCTGGAGTTTCTACACAACTGTGGTCTCTGGGAAGGCGACTGCGGCACAAGCCACCCTGCCACTACTCATAGGAGACTGCCTCCATGTCCCTGTGTGTAAAGAGGGAAGGTGGCAGCTCAAAGAGGGACTCAAAGGACGGCAGCACAGCTCTGCTCCAAATCTGGCTCTAAGTCAGGGTTTGACAAGCTTTTTCAGGAAAGGGCCAGGGATTACACACTTTAGGCTTAGTGGGTCTTCGTTACGACTCCACTGTCTACTGGCAAGTAAAAGGAGCCAGAGACAATACGTAAACAAACCAGTGTGTGGCTGTGCTCCAACAACTCTCCTTTCCAGAAACAGGCAGCCAGCTGGGGTGGGCCAGCAGGCCGCAGCGTCGACCTCCGCTCTCGCTGACACAAGGTTACTGCACTGGTTCCCGATCTGAAACTCGGCAACAACTCCTCATACAGCTCCTGTGATGAAGAATGAGCCTGTGCCTTCCTGGTGCTCCAGCTCGGGGCAGGGCCATCAGGAGAACCGCTCAGGAGAAGGCTTAGGAACATGAACTGTTAAGGACTGGGCGGTCTCTCCTGGACTCTGATTAAGTAGCTTTCTTTGAGATGAACACAGGCAGCAAGTATGTGAAATGCCGCTCCGTTTATGGTGTATTTATGACATGTGCCCGAGGTGCTTATTAGTGCATGGTCCCTACCACTGCACAGACCCTTGTTAGGGAGCGGTGATCGATGAAGAAGTGTCACCTGAAATGAATTCATTCAGGAGAGAAAACGGGAATCAAAACGTCTGACAGGCTCTGTCTTAAGAAAATAAATTTTAAATTATGAAAACAAGTTTCATGTTATCTGATATTTGAAAAAACTTAGGTTTATTACTGCAGCCAGGAGCTAGTTTCCTGAATGAACAGTGAAACCAAGTTGATTGATACTGACTGTGATTCTCCCGATAAAACGATGCGCTAGCACAAGGTGATATCTTTCATTTCATTTCGACTCTCCTGGTCCTACTTAAAAAAGGTAATTTTTATGAAAATGTTTGAGGGCTCCATCAGTTTCCCTCCGGCCTCTCAACTCTTTGAAACACAACTCATTTACCTTCTGAAGCACTTATTTCATCATCCTGATCACTATATTTCTCTCCATTTAACGAGATCCCTAACATCAATGGCTTTGCATGACATTTGCAAAATTCTCCATAATCACTTTCATTGATTTAATGAAATCACTTTGCAGTAAGTTGCAACTGGACCATCAAAACTACATACAGCAACAGCTGCAAGGGTCAAAATGGCGGGGATGTTTGAATGCTCAGTTCATCCAAAAGGGTTTTTTTCATTTTATGAAGACTTTGGTTCGTTCCACAAGGAACCTTGTTACTAAAAAGAACAGAATAATAAATATGCAGATACCAGAAATTCATAATTTGAGGCATGCAATACCCACGTGACAAAATCAGAGAATCCATCTCTGTCTGTGCAGGGTGGGGCTGGCAAGCAGATGACAAGGTGCCCTGGCATCAGCACCATGTGCCAGGGCCGAGTCGGCCTGTGGACTCAGAGTTGCCGGCACAGGCCTGGGTTGCGGGCCAGGTCCCCAGGTGGGGCACACGAGAGGCAACAGGTCACTGTTTTTCTCCCTTTCTCTCTCCTTTCCTCTCTCTTTAAAAAAAAAAAAAGAGAGAGAGAGAGAGAAAGAGAGAGAAGACAATCCCCAACCCCCAGGGGGCTCACAGTCTGACAGAAGGTAAGCAAGGATGGGAACAGGTGCCAATCCCACGAACAAGGGCAATCCAAGACTCCTCAGGACCCAAGGAAACATGCTGAAGAGTCATCTGCTGACTGGTCCCACCGACTTCTGCCGTCAGCTCTAGGTCGGGCACTGCGCAAGGCAGTGGGGACACAGCAGTGAGCGAGTGACGTGGTGGCCCCGGCTCTCAGAGCATGCCGTCTGCGGCGGGGCGGGGACAGACTCCTCACTGCAGCTTGTGATGAGGGACCGGAGGAAAACAGGCAGGGGCACCGGTGGAGAGAGGACCGGGCCCTCCTAGGTGCGGGTCCGGGCGGAACGGACAGCCTGAGGCCAGAGGGCAGCTGAGGGGCAGCTGGCTGTCCCTCGGAGGAAGAGGAAGTTCCAGCAGAAGATGGCGTCCAGGCCCAGTGGACAGAGTCTGAGGAACTGAATGGAGGCCAGCAGCTGCCGCTCAGCGAGAGGGAGGCCGGGCCCGGAGGACAGTGACGAGAGAGGGCAGAGCAGGCCGCGTGGCTTTGCAGGCTGCTGGTCCCAGTTTGGCGACTGGAGGGGAACCGTGGGAAGTTCCTTAAAGGTGTTAAGCCCGAAGATAATAGGTCTGATTTACAGTTACAAAACGCCTCTGGGTTCTGTGAGGAGACCGGTGCAGGGTGGAGGGGCTGGGAAGTGGGACAGCAGGCGCTCCGGGGCGGAGTGTGAATGGTGGCCCAGGGCAGGCCGCTGGCAGTGGAGCCAGGCGTGGAGAACAGGCTGCATGGGGCGGGGCCCTGATGGAGCCACCGCGAGGCCGGGGCCCAGTGACTGCCTCCGAGTCAGGTGTGGGCAGCGTGGGCACGCGCATGGCGGGCGCGCCTCTGAGACTGGCAGGCACAGTGGGAGAGCTCCCTCGAGGTGACATCAGACGGGGCTCTCTGGGCTGCGGGTGGGAGGGGCACTCCGAGCAGAGGGAAGCACAGCACGGGAGGTGCAGGTGTGAACGGGCAGGGCGCCTGGTTTGGTCCCAGAGGATGAATGGGGGAAGAGGGGCAGGTGGGGACTCTGGCCGAGGCTGGCCCAGTCAGGGCCCTGCAGGCCTGGCCGAGGGCAGACTGGCCGTCAGCTCCCAGCTGTGTTTTGGACATTGCTCACAGCACTTCAGACAATCTGTGACTGGCTGTAAGATGCGCAGCTCTTCCTCAACGTAGCGGCCTGGCACCCTCGGCGTGCACTCTGGCTGGGCAGCACTGGCTGGAGCACGTGCCTACCGGCTGGTGCTCCTCTCTGCTCTCCCGGCGCGGGTTCTGCGGCCAGTTCTCTTGACCCTTGTCTGCCTGCCTCATTTACATCCCCTGGGTGAGCCCCTGGCTATGAGATGGTGCCTCAGGTAGGGGTGAGGCAGCTTTATGTCTCAGAGCACCTGCTCCTGGTGCAAAATCATGGGAAGAGGGGAAAAGAAGAGACAGGCAAACCAGCTAATTACAAAGCCTAACAAAATCCTGCTATTATGGCAGCATAAGGGAGACTCCTGTTATTCTTTTTTATGGTCTAGAAGAAAGAGATGTTATACATCACTGTGTAAACTGACCCAAAGCATCAGGAAATTTGTATCACAGCATGAATCTTTATGATGAGGGTGTTGCTGTTCCATGAGATGCATGGGAAGGGCGACTGGGACCTGGGATTCGGTCAAAGGGCACATACGCATTATTAGCATGAAGAGCCACATGAGTTCTTGGCTAACAGGACAGACAACAGAGCTGTGCCCACAGACCTTTTCAGGAAAACTCTGTGGGAAGCAACATCTCTGACGGACTCAAGAGCGATGGTAAACAAAGGCCTACCTGTCCTAAATGCTCCATTCAGATGCATAAAGTAGAAGGAGTGGGGGATGGGAGACGAAGCAGATGGATCTCAGATGAGTAACTGGACAGACGGTATGACATCCAGCATTAAAATAAACAGAAGAAAGCAAACAGAACAAACTTGGGACATTAAATCTGTGCAAATGCATGGTGTCTACGTCCAGGACAACAGTGTGGGCCTGTTCTGTTTTCCTCCATTTGCTTGTGATGGTCCTGTCAGATTTTATGCCACACACGGTATCTCCGCTGTCTCAAATGATACCATAAGGACAGACTATTTCTCCTGATTACTTCTGGCATACTTTTAAGAGCTTAAGATAGCACTGTGCATCCATCAGATGTTCTGTTTTGACAGTACTGTTTGAAAACAAAATTAAACAGCAGCTGAATAATGGGGTGGCTGCCAGCCGCACCCCGGCAGGGAAATCAGACTTAGGGCCCTGGGCGAAGACCAGGCAGTAGACAGGCTCCTGCTCCCCTGCCCTCCGCCCCACTCCTGTCTCGTCTGGGGGGCTCCCCCCAACCCCACAGCACCGTGGTGCCTCGGCCTAGTTCCCGCTTCTGGCTCAGGCTCTCCCTTGAACAGATAACCATCTTGGACAATTTTATCATCAGGCATTATTAAGTACCTATTGCAAGGCACTGTGTTAGTTCATCCATTTCACTTAAACCTCAAACTTCATATGCTGGAAAGTTCCCGCTTTAGCTTTTAAAAGGCAGCTATAAACGAGATGTGTTTAACTCTCCCTCTGTGCCACTCATTCTCTCATACCTTCGCTGGGGGATGGAGCCCCAGATGACACACAATGCTCCGAGCAGAGTTTTATCAGGCCTGTTAGTCAGCGTTTCCTTTAAGGCACTAAACAGTATGAAAATGCCCTCAGCGCCCATTCCCACTTTCTCCGTCGGTGGACTTCATGGCTCTCCTTGAAAAGGAAAAGGCTGGCTGGTGCAGAGGGGCAGGTGTGTCTCTGGCGCACAGAGGGGTGAGTAACGACAGGGACATCAGCGGTTTAGCTGGAGCTTTAATTTGGGCCTCAGAAAAACACATAGTAAATTAAAGAGTGACTTACTCGTTCTTGTCCAGCCGTATCCCAGATTAGGAATTTATGTAGCTCATTTTGGTACTGGACAGTCTTGGTCATAAAAGACGCCCTACAAAGAGAGACCTAAATGATCAGAACACAATCATTTAGCGTGCACGGCCGCCCCCTTCGGAAACCTCGCCTAGGACTTCACACAGAGAGAGGCTCCCGCTCCACGCTCTGCCCGGACGGGGGTCCTCTCTGGAGCATTTATGAGATGCTCAGACACTGGCTGCATGTCTGTGTCACGACAGAGCGCCAGGCACATCTGCCCAACACAAAGCAGCGCGAGTCCTTTGGCTCGTGGTTGCCTCAGCTCCATATCGGAAGAATCAGGAGGTAATGTGGTAATCCAGACGTTACCCTCCCTTGTAAAATACAGAAGTTGTTATTTTAAAAGATGGTATCAAGCAAACACTTTCTAGAATAGGACATGAGTACTCTAGTAAAAAATACTAGGTCATCTGGGTTTGTACTCTCCCATTCCCATGCCACACGGCCACATGAGCTGCCGAGTAAGGGCCAGAGTAACACTGGAGCTGTTAAGACTAAGACCATCACGCAAGGAGCAGGAAGGTGGCCAGGGAAGGGACACCCTGGCGGTCACCTGCGTCCCAGCCGAGCTGATGGGCCCCGTCAGGGCCTGACCCCGCCCTCAGTGGGGAAGGGATGACGGGTGTGGTCGTGTCGTTCATCCTGAGGGGCCGCTCTGCCCGGGGCCTTTGAGGTAGGGTCCCTATTATTTCGGGGGCCTCAGACTTTCTGGAGACTCTCTGAGGAGCCATGCGGCCCAGAGCACATGTGGAGACTGTGGAAGCTTCTGGATGCAGGCCTGGTCCTGCCCAGGGCTGGGCCTGGTTCCAGTACTATCTTCTACCCCGCAGTGCGCTGGAGTTCCCTCCTGGGAGCCCTTTGTCTCCCAGCCTCCTCAATGCATCAAAGACCCCAGAGATGATGATGCCTCCTTTTCTACTGGATAATAAGCCTCTGGGGCCAAGGGCCCCACTGCCCTCTTGGAATCACACCCCGAACCGCCTACCCAGGGCAGTGAGCTGCATGGCTGGCCATTTTCAGATACGTGGGATGTCCGGGACACTTCTGAGATTCACGTAATAGCTCCATAAACTTCAAGACAGTACGAGTTGAAATCGATAGAATGGCTCCCTAAAGAATCACTGAGCTTAGCTAAGTATCAGAATTCTTGGTTTTAAAAACTTAAATTCTGCTACAATTGAATTCTTGGCAATATTTATATAAATTTATGGTTTAACAAGCAGCCTCCAAAACAGTGACTGTGATGAAGAAGGGAAAGTGAGTTAGGAACCAAGACCACATTTTGAATAGATGCTATTTAGGGGTATTTACTTACTGGAAACTGACCCCTCGGTAGCCTTAGCATAGTGCTCCATGCATAGAAGGTGCTCCGTAAGTGGTTATTGTTTTGAGAACTTCTGACAACTCACCATGATCACATCAGGCTGTGCAGAGCAACCTCTCCCTCAGGAGAGACCTAAGCGCCCTGCCGGCCTCGATTCATTGTGAAGATGGAATGAGAGGGTGTGTGAAAGCGCTCTGTATATCGTGAAGCACTCTGCCTACACAAGGTGGTGGTGTTATTATTATTTAAAGGCAGCTCCTGGAGGTGTTTTAGTTTAGACCTTACAGTTAGTCCTGAAAGCTTGCAGCTCAACTGTCCATCAATTACGGCGCTGGTGCTCCATTTAAGAGCGACAACAGGCGTCCCACAGAGGCCTATTAAGAGGGCCCATGCGTCCGACACATCCGCCATGGCTGCTCACAGACCAAGGGAAGAAATGTACGTGGAGGGGACAAAAAGCTGAGAGAGGTACACGTAACAATGAAAAGGAAAGGGATTCTGATCCGTTTCACTACCTGCCAACCACTTCCCCTTTACGAAAGCTCAGCTTCACTGCTCAGGGCAGGGGCAGACAGGAGGTTGTCATGTCAAGGAAGGATCCCAAAGGGTTAAACCCAACTTCCAGCCTCCAATCCTGGACTATCCTTCCAGCTTTCCCCTGTGGTCACCAGAACACACCCTTCCTCCCTGCACCAAGGTCTTGTCCAAGGCTCTGCACTCTGGTCTCCTTGGGTCTACGTCCATCGGCTTCCTGTCCTTTGATCGCCAGCATCACTTGCCTGCACTGCCTGCTCTACAGGAATCCTGTCTGTCCTTTTGTTTGAACCACCCAGAGAAGCCCCAAGCAGCCTCCCTTCCAGAGCTGCTTCTGCCAGGGAGTGGGCAGGGGCGGGCGGCAGCCGCCTTGCTGGAGAAGAAAAGCCCCGCGACCGCTGGGGGCCAAGCGAGGGCTGTCCTATCTCAGCCAGGCCGCCTCTTCGGCCTCTCAAACCACGCAGCATCATTCCACGTTCTTACGACTGCTTCCCGGCTCCCTGCCGCTTCCTGCGACCTGCCCCCTTCACGGGGCCGGGGCCGCAGCTCACTTCAGCCTTTGCAGAGGAAACAGAGGTGAGGATCTCTCAGTCCTCCAATGTGTTCCCCAGTCAACCCCCACCTTGAGAGGAAACAAGTTTCCCTCCGCGCTGGCTGGGTTTCCACTTCTCTGCCTTTGGCTGAGTCAGACACGTCTTTCCTTCAACTTGCCCATCACCTCTCCCCAGGCCAGGTGCCAGCATGTCCTGCCTGAGCCACCGCAGCCATCAACTAGCCGCCGCCTCTCAAGCCTCAAATCCTTCCGAGGGAGCTCCAGCTTGTGCTTCCACACCACCTGCCCTTTTCCAGAATGCTCTCCCACCGGCTCCCCTGCGGCGCCACGCTCCTCATTCTTCAGGTCTCAGGTCAACTGCCCATGGCCACAGACCCCTGGGCGGCCGGCCCCAGCGCAGCCACTTCCCACCACGCCTTCCCTGCGCCACACACACACCACCCGGTCTAGTCTTCAGGGCGCCCACTGCAGGTCTGTACAATGTCTGATTAGCTTATTCACGGTTTTTGTTTTTTTTCATGTGTCTGTTCGAGGTCTCATTGGGAAGACACGTAAGTGACATGAGAGCCAGGACCCTGCTGTCCTCTCTCCCATGTCCCCCCGTCCACGCTCCCCAGAGTTCTGACGGGACAACACAGGCTGTGCTGGGTCTCCACGCCCCGCACCAGAGGTCCTGACCACACTCCTCCCAGAGCACCCAGCGAGGGGGCCACGAGGTGCCGGAGCCGAGCCACCTTAGGGAAGGCGACAGGCAGAACCCGGCGGGGAGCAGGGAAGACTCACTGATCCCTCCCTCCCTCAGGCTCCTTGATTCTGCTAAGGAAGAAGGCAAACCACTTGGTGGATTCTTGGTGCTTGTGGTTCCTGTGCAGAACCAGGTCCCACCTCCGGGCCCCAGCTCGGCGGCTCCGGGGAGATGGCCACGCCCCCTCCTTCCCCACCCTGAGCCCCTCCACTGCCTCCTTAGAGCAACAAGTACCTCGGCTGATTTTTGAGAGTCTGAAATCTTGGCAAGAACCATTTCAACCCTCTTAGCATTCGGATTCAGGGCGTCTAGATGCAGGGTCACTGCCGAGATGGGGTGTGGCCCAGCCGCCCCGTCCTACTGGTCCCCCAGGGAGCTCTGGGCTAGCCCTGGGGCAGGATGGCTCACTGGGATGCTTTTATCTGCCGAAGTCAGTGTCTGAATCTGACTGACTTCAGCTTGACTGTACAATCTAAGCCCTCACGCCCACCTCACACTCCCGGCGGAAAGACAGGGCTGGCGTGCCCCCTCCCCTGGTCGCCCCACATCCCACGCTCTCCCTCAGAACACGGGTCGGCCGGCCGCAGAGCCGAGCCTGGTCTGCAGTGCTCTTCGTCCTTTGTTACTTGCACCCAGTTTTGTAGAACTGTCTCGTTCTTCATCTCGTGTCTGATCTGCACTCGAACCCCAGCCCCTGATGGAAGGGGCCCCCGTAAATCGGACCCTAACCTTGAACAGGGGCGGGGCAGTTTTCCCTCCCACTGTCACTCGAACTCTAGGGTCACTCCTTCACCACTCAAGCTAAACGATGCGGGGGTGCGACAGCTTCGGTATCTTGCTTTTGAAAAACTGCAATGGTTTCGTGCCCTCCAAATGATACATTTTTATTTTCCAGCCTGCCATTTACCTGTCTGATAACCTCATTTTTCACTACTGAGCCATCTCTCTTCACTCTGCCTAGGCAGATCTTATTACCCCTCTAATCCGAAGCCCCTATCAGCATCCTTCTCTAAAGCTACAAGGTCTTTCATAGACTTCCCCATCCCCAAGGCACCCCGAACACATGGCTTTCACACGCACCAAGCAGTCATGATCTTTGGTCGGAGCGCGTGTTCCCGGTGACAATACCTGCCGCAAGGTGTTTTAAAATGTCTTGTCTGTAGCCGCAGGGGACGTGCTGGGCTCTCTCACAGCGCAGTGGGCCCTGCCCTCCCACCCGAGTGCTTCTTTTGACTGCAAGCCCTTTTCTTGGCGGCACACGGGATGCTGCCTGTCATCCCCATGATGACAGACGGTGCCTTTTAAGGATGAACTGCTCAGCACTCTTAAAAATCAACACACCACCGTGACTTCTAGGTGCCCCTCAACCTTCTGCAACAATGCTGCGTCTCCCGGATATACACATGGACAGAAAACACCACTGGAAACACACCAGCTTGGGGACATGAGAAGATCACAGGAGACCTAGTGGCTCCTCCAATGGACGCACCGACGGACCTCCGGAGGCGGCGCAGGGGTCTGTCAGGCGCCCCGTGAGAACCAGCCGACCGTGAGGGTGCGCCCGTCTTCTGCAAGGGCGGCCTCCAGAGGCCGGGCGCCTAAGAGTATCCGTTACTTCAGTTACTTCAGTTACGTGTGCGGGTTGCAGTCACGTGTCTCTTTAACTCTTCCTTTAAACTCTCTGTAACGAGATCTAAGGGTTGAGGGGCCACTCTGCAGAGTGTGTCCTTTCAAGCGCCACTACCACCCAAACCAGAGGGTGCACAACGGACGGGTTGTTCCACAGGTTCATGGCCATCCCAAACAAATCCGTTAGTCATTTCTACATTCTTGTCATATAAAATTTTCAGGAAAGTATTT